CGTGTAAACTGCATTTTTTTACATTCACTAAAAAAACAAGTCGATATTTAAATATTTTTGAACTTTCACATTTTGCTAATTTTCTCTTATTTAAAATAAGTTTTATATAATTTGTCAATATGGAATAAAACATTAGTGTCTACTTTGTTTATATTTCACAAAAAATAGTCAATATTTTTAATATCTTCGATCTTTCACATTTTGCTAATTCTCTCTTATATAACATAAGTTTATATATATGTTGTCAATATGAAATAAAACTTTAGATTTCCCTCGAACCATGTGTGCAAATTTTATGAAAATCGGTTAAGTCGTTGCTGAGTTATTTGCATTTAAAGTTGACGATCTTCCAAAATATAGCAACTGTTCGGTGCTGTTCGCCTATTACCTGAAAACGAAAAACCACACAAAAATTAGACTTGTAAAAATGGTTATAGCTACTGTACATACACGGCACAGTTGTACAGTTGTGTTACATTCAATTTGCGCCTAAAATCAGTCGCCTACTGTACACACACGGTACATTTGCACAGTACACAAATACTGGGGGTTCGCCTAAAAGTATGCTACAATTTTCTTTATAAACCAGCAGCAGCAAAAAAATTGTCATTTTTTAAGGATGCAATTTTGGTATGTTTTTCATTTTCAGCTAATAGGCGAACAGAACCGAACAGTAGCTATATTTTGCAAGATCGTCAACTTCAAATGCAAATAACTCAGGGACTACTTAACCGATTTTCATAAATTTTGCACACATGGTTCGAGGGAAATCTAAAGTTTTATTCCATTTTGACAAAATATATATAAACTTATGTTATATAAGAGAGAATTAGCAAAATGTGGAAGTTCGAAGATATTTGAAATATTGACTTTTTTTGTGAAATATAAACAAAGTAGACACTATCTTTGCATAGCGTATTGAATTTAGTCCAGAACGACCGGTATCCGGTTGTAAATCGGCCATGTTTTTGTACATTCCGCCTTATGCAGAATGATTGTATACATGTAGACTATGCTTTGTGCCTCATCGAAATATTGGTTTTAGACCTAATGTTGCTTTGGACCAAATCCATTTGAGACAATTTTGAGTCGATTTACAAATGTCCATACGTCCGTCCGTCTGTCTGTTGTTGTTGTAGCAGCCCTATTGTTTTTACACAATGGGCTGATGTGACAGACGTTGGCCGAGAAAGATTCGGGTCGTTTTGGATCGTAGACCCCTCTGTCGTAGAAACGCCGTCTGTCGAAGGGAGTACCGGATTTCATCCAAACTTTGCACATCGTAATATTTCTTTCAAACTAAGTTCAAGTACCGTGATGGGGAATATCGGTTAAGTCCGTATTGTACATCCCACACAAAATTGTCAAAAATGATATATTTGAACCAAATTCAGCACAATCTATTATTTTTGGTACCTCCCCCACAAAAAGTCAACATTTTACTAACCTGTAAATTTAATTTGAAGCAAAATAAATAAACGATCTAATTTTTTGTCTTGCACATCCAAATATGTAACCAAAACTACTACTTTAAATTCGAAGATGGGATCTTAAACCATGCTGAAATCCTCAACACAAAAAAAATATTCAAATAGATTTAACAAAATATATATATATATATATATTTATTTGGTTTTTAAATTTTTTCTTACATGGTATACATTTTTTAAGTCTTTTATTTACAATATTTTGGTTAAAATTATAGCAATATTAATATATTATATGTATATAAATATTTCAATATTATAATATTTTTTCCTTAACTTAATTAAAATGTTTTTTATTTAAAGCAAAACAAAGAACTAACAAATTATGACAAAAAATAATTATAATAACATAGACTGTTGACTAACTTTTTTACATATACGCTGATTTTTATTATCTTCAGTTATGGTTTAACATACTGTTATTACTGTCATATAACATATAACTTAAAGTGTATTTACTGAAGACAATATAAACTAAGCGCTGAAATAATTTGTAATGTTTGTGTGTGTATATTCAGATTCTCTTCGCTAGAGGTATTCTAACTACAAGCCCCTTTAAGGGGTCCCACAGAAAACATATATGAGGTCCTCTGTCTATCTATAGGAGATCTGTATGATTTATTCTGTCTATCAATGATCTTCTGTGACTATAAAGGACCTGCAGAAAACCTGTTGGAGCTATTCAGTCTCTAAGAGAACTGTAGAAGGCCTTTTGTCCCCAGAAGATCTGTAGAAGGTATTCTGTTTCTAAAAGAACTGTAGAATGATCCATAAAATACATGTGGAAATGCCTGTCTCTAAGAGTTTGCCTGTCATTAGAAAACTTTTCTTTTTATTTCTTTTTTCGTTTGAAGAACTGCAAGTGGTCTTCTGACTATGGTCTTCTACTCTTTTAGGAAGGCCAACTCTAGTGGTCCTGTATAAGAAATCCTTCAGTTTTTTTTTTAAAAATTCCTTTTTTCTTCTATAACAAGTCCTTCGGGTCCTTTATGAGGACCTATATTTAGGATGTAAGTGTATCCTTTCAGAAACTGTAATATCGAATTACACCCAACTGTGATTTACCCAAAACTTTCAAATGAAAAACTAAATAGGTTCCAAACACATTCAACGCCCTGCCATGTTGTTATTATTCAGAGACGTTGGATTCAATCTGCTCTTAGCTGTCGTAACCAAAATGGAAATTGAATTGAATTTTTGTTATGACAATGTTATTAGGGCAGTTTCTTTGGGTGGAAGCTGCCCAATATTTAAGAGAACCCATATAGAGCAGACCTTTCTGATGACAGATATACCTAACTGTGGATCAACACTGATCATGTGCAAAATTATATATTCACCGAACAAAGGTAAGATCCTTGGTGCACCATTTACCTCAAAATATCAGAGGGAGTGGACTAGTGGGTCCCATCTTCAAACTTGATATAGGCTTGGTAAATATACTAGGTTGTACAAAGTTTGGTTGATATTGAACTTATAAATATTGAAAATTGTGACCCTTTGTGGGCTATTTCGGGTGAAATCAATTAATCCCTTCTAGAGTTATCGTGTGCACCAGCCGGTCAGGCAGACATATCTATCTATACTAATAAAAGAGTACAGTAATTGACTGACTTAACGATTCATCAACGCCCAGACGAAACGGTTGAAGGTAGAATATTGAAATTTTGGGTGAGGATCACTCTTGGTCCAAAGGTGACAGATAAGGCTGGGTTTTTGGAAATTCGTACTAGAGAACGGTACGATAAGTACTTAATGTGATACCATTTGTATTTGGCAAACCGGTAGAGCCAGAACTCTTAAATTTTAAATGAGGGTCGCTGATGGAGTGTAAAATAGATAAATAACACTTGTGGGTACTAAATTTGGTACAATTTGAATTTTAGGTGAACCGATAGAGCTAGAATCATGAAATTTGGGGTCAGGATCACTGTTGAGGTGTAAAATTGATATATGTAGGAAGTTTTAGAAATTTGTACTAATGAATACTAAATTTGGTACAATTTAAATTGTGAGTGAATCAATAGTTGAAAATAGTTGGAATCCTGAAATTTTGATTTAGGACCAATGTGGAGGTGTAGCATTGGGGTATGTAGGATTTTTTAGAAATCCTACTAAATTTGGTACAATTTAAATTGTGGGTGAATCAATAGAGTTGGAATCCTGAAATTTTGATTTAGGATCACTGTGGGAGTGTAGGATTGGAGTATGTAGGAATTTTTTTAATTTGGTACTACTTTGTACTAAATTTTGTACAATTTGAATTGTGGGTGAACCGATAGAATTGTAATCGTGAAACTTTTAGTTAGGATCACTGTGGGGGTGTAGGTTTGGGTTAAATAGGAAGTTTTGGATATTTGTACTGCTGTGTACTATATTTGGTACAATTTTAATTGTGGATGAACCGATAGATTTGGAATTCTCAAACTTGTATTTATGATAACTGTGGGGATGTGGGTTTGGGTTCAGTAGGAAGTATTGGAAATGTAAAAACATGTATGTGAATGAGAGAACGAAGGTCGACTCGATTCTATCGATATAAGAGGATGTATATGGGGTTTTGCCAGACTATGGATTTAGCTTCAGAGTATGTTAAAGTTCAGTAGTACAGTCGAAAAAAATTATAACAAAGTTCAAGGGACAGGCGGAATTGGTCGCTATAAGTAATAATCGTTATATAAGCTATGAAATAAGGGACAAAACTTGTTTTTGGGTCTTCTGGATACTCTCATTATACCTGTTATGTAGCTAAAAATGGTGTTAATATGAACGAATTCGAATGTCATATGGTCAGACCTGGGCAAATATACTACTCCTCTTACTGGAAACATACATTTTTAATATTTGTTCGTATTTGATTTTTTAATAAAATTTGAAATGGAGTTAATCAGACGGACATACAAAAACCGATTAAAAATATACAATGCAATGATAAATAGAGGTTATGGGTCTATATAAAATATGCAATGCAATGATAGAGGTTATGGGTCTATCTATTCTCATATGTATACATTTTGTGGCTTAAAGAAAAAAAAATAAATATATCCATCATCAAAAACCATCGCTCAGTATCAAAGAATTCTATTTCCTAAAGACTGTACTGGCTTTTAAAAAGGAGCCATCGAACAGCATTCTATGGATCCGTCATTCCAAAATGGTTATTGTATGCCAATTGAATGTAATTGGTTTACGATCAGCACGTAAAGCACAGAGTAATCCTCAGTTTTGAGTTCATTTCCATCCCTAAATACACAAAACATTACGAAACATTAAATTATCCTAAACAAAACTAAACAAAGAACATACATCTCTCCTCCTCCTCAAAATTAACTTAATTTAAATATACATATAAACTTTTAAACTAAAAAACAAATATTAAGCTTATAACGTTCTTATAACCTGAGATCACATTCTTAGAATATTATACACAAAAGATGCAGAGAGAAGACATAGAAGGAAGGGACATCATATAATCTCCTCAAGAAAAGACGGAAGCATAAGAAATGCATTTCATCATACATCACGGCATATATCATTTGTCGATATTATACTTTCCATAAATTCATCTTCCCGTGGTTCATCCGGCTGCATTTCCTCTTCGTCCTCCACGGCCGAATACTATGAATTTTGATTACGTTGTATCACCACCCAACTATCATCAGTTACTAAATCGCCATTGGCATTTGTATCAGAAACACCGGGTACATTATCTTCGGGTGGTTGGGAGGAGGAACGCATAGTGTCCCAATGCTGTTTGAGATTGTTGTACAATTCCAATAGTTCTTGCTGGAAATTCAAAAAAAAAAAAAGGAAAAACAATATTTTATTATATACCTATATTATAAATTTTAACAATTTAGTTGACACTTACCTTCTCTTTGATTTTCTTTAGCAGTTCCTGTTTCTCTTGCCTCTCGCCTGGATCCATTTGCATTAGAATCCGCTCTTTGATATCCTGAGCATAGTATAATTTCGTATTGACTTTCAGATATTCCATTGCCAGTCGCCGATGTTCTTTAAATATTTCCTGTGATTCGGCATTATCTGGTATTGGTTGTTCCGGTTGTAGTTCAGGATCTAAGAGCACCTCTAGTGGTTGACCATTTTCATCATCTTCATCTAGATCGGTGTCATTCGAATCAATGGGTAAATTATTGGCATTGGTGATTTGATCGACAGATTTTATAATCGGTTTCGCTTCGGTAACCATTATACGTTCTTTACCATCACTTTTTGCTGGAAATAGACAAGAAAACAAAAGGAAAAAATGACAAATATTAATATGGTACTAAATTTCTAATAATTGGTTCAATATATAAGTTCTAACTTATTAGACAATATCAATATCAGGACTATTAACTTATATATTTATATATGTGAACTATATCCATATCAGAAAGTGGGTTATGTCTAATGAGGATATACACTGGTGGCCAAAACTAAAGCAACTAAAATTGCAAAGTTAATAAATGACGCATAACATTTTCAAAAATAAAGATATCATGTTAATTTTTCAGTTTTAAATCTGCTACTTTTTCACTGTTAAAAGCGTAAAAAAACTAAAAGTTGCATTAGTTTTGACCAAGCAAAAAGTGTGTCAACTTATTTCTAAAAAAATCCGTTCTTTTAAAATGTTTTTTAATGAATAAATTAGCTATTTATTTCTGAAAAAACTTTCACTATAAATCTATTTTCAAAAGAGTTACCGGTCATTTATTCAGTTTGCAATCTTAGTTGCTTTAGTTTTGGCCACCAGTGTATATATGTGAACCGAAAATATTAGACCCTCATCCTTATGTGAAATGACGGCAAAAATGCGCTTCATCGAAATATGAGTTCATATGAATTCTAAGGGGAATCCAATTCCATCACACAAATTATCAACATTTTCAAAATTTTTAAATCCGAAATATTTTTAACAAATCTAGATGACTTGCAAAGATGGGACCCAAGGTAATGGAACCCATGTCAGGTTTGATCAAAACTTTGCAAATCTTATTTTTGAAAACCTCAAATCAATTCCAAAGATGGGAACCATTGGTTCAAAACTTCTGCTACCTCCCCACATCAAGTGGCAATATGTTGAAAATTCCATATCAAGTGAATGAAGCATCCGGTTTTATCTATAATTAGGGATAGATGGTCGAGTTCAAAAGTCGACTTTTATTTACTTTTTTTTTGCATTTATCTAAAAAGACGAATTTTCTATCTTTCGATTTTGCCAGACCTGTTCAAAATCGATTTTCGACTTTTACCAACTAATGCAAAATTGACCAAAAATTCGATTTTTTTTTATTGAATTATTGTCAACAGATAACAGAAAGTTCTGGAATGTGTAAAACTTATGAAGAAAATCGAAAATCGATTTAGAAAAGTCGACAAAGCCATTTCCTCAAAGATCAAAAGTAAACTTCGACTTTTAGACTTTTCAATACAAAATTTTTTAAATCTGATATCAATCAAATGAATGAAGGGTCCGAATTGATCCAAAGTGTGCTCATCGTAATATTTTTTACCAAACCTCCACTATATCCGACCGTAATATTTACACTAACCATAGATTTAGTGCAACCATCGGTTATGTAGGGCCATCATCTTTGACACCACCCCTCACAAACTGTCAGAATTTTACAAAATTATAAATTTACGACAAAAATTGTTCCACCTCGAAACTAGGCTATTATAAAAGTATGAATAGGTGTATACTATATACGTCATGGGCTAAAGGCAAATATGTCAGTCGGAAACACCGACTGAAACTTTTTTCTTGTTTAGAGTCCCCGATAAAAATTTTAAAAATGTGGAAAGCTTGTGAGAATTTTTAAAAAAACAGTGGATTAATAGGCACCTTCTTTGGACTTGATCAATGGCATGGGAAATATTACGATGTACATAATGGTTGGATCAAATCCGAAACATCAGACGTTCAACATTTTCAAAATGAGTGTAGGATTATATAGAAGACCAGGAGGTCTTCTTCTATAGAAGTATATGAGACATTCTTTCATACAAGACTAGGAGTCAGTGTTCGCAAATAAACGGTACACTGCCGTAGTGTACCGTACCAGGAACACAAATACTAAAAAATTTTTATCGTTAATTTTCCGGTACACAAACATTAAAAACTATTTTAGTGTTACTGTCCCGGAGCACAAGGAAATTCGTAGTGCTTCACATTTAGTACACTAAAAACGTTGGGTACCGCAGTCGGAACACTAAAAATCGCAGTGTACCACGGTCGGAGCACTCACCAGTAAGGAAAGTAGTAAAGTCGGACGGGGCCGACTCTATGATACCCTTCACCACTTTGCGTATATTCAACAGATGGAATCCTAACAGACGTCGCATTTTTGAAGGACCATTAACATGAAATTAAACATGTAATTCTGCAATGTAAATAAATTAAAAGCAAAATATCGAAATCTAAACCGATTTCATCGAAACTCGTCACATGTTAGGTTACACTTATTTCAGTATGTTTTGTGCATTCGGCCACAATTTGAGTTCTTCATATACTTATAAATTCAAATTTCGTGCAAATCGAATGATATATAGGGACTTTGGTGCACCATTTACATAAAATCGGACGAAAATATATATGCGAGCTATATTCACGAAATTTAACAAACATCATTCTAGACATAATTCAGTACGTTATGCAAAATATCGTACAAATCTATGGATATATAGTGACTTTGGTGCACCATATGCATAAAATCGGACGAAAATATATGTGGGAGTTATATCTAAATCTGAACCGATTTTCACGAAATTTAACATACATATTTCTAGACTTAATTCAGTACGCTGTGCCAAATTTCGTGCAAATCGAAGGATATATAGGGACATGGGTGCACTATTTACCTAAAATCGGACGAAAATATATATGGGACCTATATCTAAATCTGAACCGATTTTCACGAAATTTAACGCACATCTTTCTAGACTTAATTCAGTACGATATGCCAAATTTCGTCCAAATCTAAGGATATATAGGGACTTTGGTGCACCATTTACATAAAATCGGACGAAAATATATATGGGAGCTATATCTAAATCTGAACCCATTTTCACTAAATTTAACACACATCGTTCTAGACTTAATTCAGAACGCTATGCTAAATTTCGTGCAAATCGATGGACGAAATATAGGACGAAAATATATATGGGAGCTATATCTAAATCTGAACCGATTTTCACTAAATTTAACACACATCGTTCTAGATTTAATTCAGTACTCTATGCCAAATTTCGTCCAAATCTAAGGATATATAGGGACTTTGGTGCACCATTTACATAAAATCGGACGAAAATATATATGGGAGCTATATCTAAATCTGAGCCGATTTTCACTCAATTTAACACACATCGTTCTAGATTTAATTCAGTACTCTATGCCAAATTTCGTACAAATCGAAAGATATATAGGGACTTTGGTACACCATTTACCTTAAATCGAACGAAAATATATATGTGAGCTATATCTAAATCTGAACCGATTATTCGCATTTTCAATAGGGTTCGTCCTTGGGCCAATTAAGCGACCTGTGCCAAATTTCATCCAAATCGGACGGATGGACAGACGCATCTGGCATAAATCGACTCAGAAAGTGATGCTATCTCGATTATATTTGCCTGTTACAAACATATGCACAAAGACATAATACCCTGTACCACACTGTGGTGAAGGGTATAAATATTACGATGTACAAGAAATCAGAAACATCAGTTGTTCAACATTTTCGATATGTGTCTAAAGATTTTTTGGCCATTTTGTGGTGAACCGTTAGCTAGGATAATATTAGAAGACCAGGAGGTCTTCTTCTATAAAAGAACAGGAGGTCTTCTATAAAAGACCAGTAGGTAATTTTTTTATACGTAGAGATATAGAGATTTCAATCACAACATTTCAAAATTATTATTCTTATTGGTCTTATTATTATTCCCTTCCCTTATCATATAGCCGTACACATTGTTTATATTTTTATTAGATTTGACCTAGTCGTTCGCATTCATGCAACATTTTATGAGTCAGCCGGCAATTGTTGCATATAGTAAGTTGAGCAATAGCAATTAATTTCAGTGTAAGAAAATTCGGACAAAAAAATGGGATCATTATAAATTAACAGAATCGAGTAAACAAACAATAATAATTAGAATAAGAAGAAGAACAAGAATAGAATGCGAAGAAAATCGTAATCCTTCCTTACTATAAATAAACCAGCAGCTGTGTAAATCCGTTTGTTTCAATGGCGCAATCACTGCCGTTGTCGAAGAATCACACATTTCCGAAAATCATTTGAAAAAAAAACACAGACACACATACACCAATTTTGTTGATATTAGAACACCGAGAGGGAGAGTACACTTTATTTCCACGTTTATTAGCTTTATTTAGCAAATTGGTTTGGGACACAGGTGATCATCTGTGGTCGTCATTTGCAAGATATAACAATTACAACTGTGCCACAAATAATACACATATGTTATTAATTATTAAAATACAATTCAAAATGTTTTGATTTTGTTTTTTTTTTTTTTGGTAATTAAAAAATAGTTTTAAAATTCAATTTTAAATAAATTTCGTTTCTTGGAATTTACAAACATAAAATAACCACTTAGTTTTTTTGAAAGAGTTTTTTCCCCGTTTTTGCATTTTTTTCCTAAATAATATTTTATTTCTTGTTGTTGTTGTTGTTCTTTTGTCGATTATGTTCTGAATTGAATTGGTATTGATTGTTGTTATAAACAATTAGTTTGTTATTCTTTTTATGGTTTTTGTTTTTTCCATATTTATTGTCTTTATAATTTGTTTATTATTGTTACGTTTCTTCTTTCTAAATATTGCGTATGTTTTGTTAACCAATTTTTTTTTCTTTTGGTTCATTCACGTTACGAGCCGCAGTCGATCGCGTCAATGTGTGATCTCCAACTGATTTTACTAACCAATACAAAATTTGTTCGAAGCAGCAGCATCCCACCACCAAACCATTAACATTAATTTTTTGAGAACAATAGAATGAATGAATCTTTCGGTCGATCTCCCTCTCTATGAATGAGAATAAAGAATATTCTCTGGACGTACGTATTTATTTATTTATATGTAAGTTCATACATATGTGTACATATATATAGAGAGAGGGAAATGTAAATTTGTAAGAGAATAATCAGATGGTGAAAAACAATGATGTTATTTTAGCGGTTTGAAAAAATCAGTAGTGTTGGCGGGTTATTTC